CTCTAATAGCCTAGCTAGTAATAATAATAATAGTAATAGCAATAATAATAATAATAATAATAATAATAACAACAACAACAACAACAACAACAACAACAATAATAATCCAGTCGCGAATTCCTTTTCCCGCAACTCTCCTCGCCCTCTAAATCATTACCCGTGTTCACTCCTGGTTCCTTCCCCTCAACCTGTTTCCTCACCCACGATGGATCCACATCCACCTTCACCTCTTCCCCGGTATCTCCTTCCCCACGGAATCAATGGCCTAATTTCCATCGAGGGTTTAATCCGTAACAACCAACCAACTACAGTTGAGTCTTCCCCTGTTACAGTCGAACAGGGGAATGCTCGACTGTAGTTGGTTGGTTCTTACATTCTAATCCGGATTAAACCCTCGGTGAAAATTAGGACTGTCGTCTCTCTTAACCCAACGAATTTTTCCCAACTCTCTCCCTCCTTCTCGTTCCTTTTTTTCCGCTGACTCAACCTCAAGCGTGGAATTCATAGATGAAATTCCCCCTCCGTCTTCATTATTATTATCACGACAATCACCAATCCTTAATTTCCCTCTTTTCGCAGTTCCAAGTTTCCACTGATCCACTTCCCCCAGATTCCTTCACCGTAAGTTTCGAAAAGAAACTTCGCAGATCCCGATCGAGTTCGAAATGTCATAACCAGACAACCACCAGAGATCCTATTTTCCTTTCCACTCCCTCCACCCTTTCTTAATATGGCAATAGCCTTCTTTTTAAACTTCTTTCTCTCTCTTTCTGTACCAATGAAATTCGACAGATGTAATTTAGTTTTGATCTCTATTCCTATGAACACATACTCATACATACACCCTTACACACTTAATTTCACGACATCTTTTTTTTGTATTTAATATTTTAAGTTCGCATTAATATTCGCGAACACTCTCGCACACGCATAACACCGTAACGTTCATAACACGCACTCCGTTAGTTACCGAATATCTTTTAATTTAAAAATGAAGATCCTAGTGTAAATCTATTGTAAAATTAAGTAATTTGTTCCTTAATATGCTAATTGGATTTTCTATTAATAAATAAAAAAAAATATACACGCACGCACGCACGCGCACACACGCACACACGCACACACGCACACGCGCGCGCACACACACACACACACACACACACACACACACACACACACACCACACACTTAATTAGAATGGTTTTTTCCAGTAATTTCTTTTATTATTTCCTCACATTACATCTTGCTAGCATAGATTCGTCCTGTCCCAGATAAAAGGGATTCAGTTCCTTGACCCAAAATAGGACCCACGGTCGTACTCTTAAAACCTGAATTATAGCGTCTTATCTAGATGTTTATCTACGTTTCGGAGTCACCTAAGTGCGTTCGATTCGCTCCATCCATGCGGATTCATGCGAGATAAAGCGTCTATCTGCTCTAACGTCCTTCCATACTCCATTCTTCTTATTCCTTCTCTCTCTAAATCGATCCACTCATATGCCCGGAGTTTGGATGTAATAAATATAAACTGTCAGTAATTTTTTTCTGAATAAAATTTGTATCTTTGACTATCAAATTACTTGTTTTTGCTCAACATTAACAAAAATAAATTAAAATTTTGTAAAATTCTATTTAAAAGTTCATAAAATAGGCGAGTCTGATTTGGACAAGGGGATGGTCCGATTTGGAACTAAAAGTGTTTTTACATTTTCCATTATAGTTCAACACAGATAAAAAATACATCAAAATAGATCAAGTAAAAATGAAAGGAATTAAATGATCTTTCCAATGGCATCTTTGATTTTATGATCAGACTTTATTTATATCTTAGAGAGTAAAAACTGCAAATAGATCCGATTTAGACCACTCTCCCTTATTACAATACTATGATTTTTATTACACCCTTTAGATTTATTAGTTGCATAAAAAATATATATTATATATAAATAATGCAAATATTTTATTTTTAAAAATTTTTTGAACTTTTCGATTATTCATTTAAATTAAATAAAAATTGAATTATGTTATTAAGTATATGTCTGTTTAGTTTTTATTATATATTTATGCAATTCTTAAATCAAATAAACATTAGTAGATATTGTAAAATATTCTATGATTAATTACCTCTTGGTAGATTCTCGAGTGTTTTGTTGACTTCCGCAAGCGTTTGTTGTACTGTATAATTTATCTGTGTTTCCAAATTTTTCGTTAAATTCATCACCTCTCTGTTGATATTGTCTGTAAAATCGGACACCCAATTAGGGGCAGCCATTCCCAAATGAGCACTGTAAAATAAAAAAATTGTATCAGGAACTGTCGAGAATCAATGATAAATTATACTCTTCATTTATTTGTCTAGACATGTAATCGCAATTGTAGCAAACTACAGTTCGCGCATTTGTAAAACGCGATTTGTAAAACACTCTGACCATGAATAAAGACGTATATAACGATAATTAAATTCTGTTATGATTTGTGCAAACACTTGACGCATTCAGGAAATAGTTTGTCGATTCATAATTATGATTTAAAACTGAATCCAGACCAAGCAAATATACGAACAATTCATTTCAATGAACAACATGTGTTTCAAGATATAAATTATTCGTTTGTATTTACTCGCGCTTTGATCAGTTGTTTGATCAGTTGTTTGATCAGTCTGGATTCTGCTTAATTTACGAGATTTCAAGACAAACATCAGTCTCGATTGCGTAATCGCACCGTCGAGAGATCGATTTGCCCTGGCAAATTTTCGTGACTATCAATGAGACTCTGGGGGCCCGAAAATAATTCGAGAATGATGACATTACCGACAATTAATAAAAATGTATGATTATTAACATAAATATTTTATTTCGATAATATAATATATACTATTAAATTCGTGATTTTTTATTATATAAATGATGTATAAATAGAGTATAAATAGAGTGTATTGTAGAGATATTTGTCTGGTTCGATTAAAATGATTAGCCACGTAAATATATTTTA